ATTTAATGACACCAGAAAACTGTCAAAGCTCCGACTGCACTAATAAGCCTTAAGACCCCTGAACAACCTCACTTGGGACTTTCATCTGTAGACCCAGGAACTACATTTAATCTCAACCCAGGGAGTACTAGTCTCAGCTCCTATGCTGTAGGAGTGCTGGTCTCAAGCTCAACCATAGCCACACTCTTGCCTATCCGTGGACCCTGATGAACTGAACCCTGATGAAACCAGGATGACTTCCTGGTTTGACCTTTACTATCTTATCACCACAACTGCCTGGTAATCACGGAGTTGTCTGGTCCCAGCCTGCAGATTGCCTTCCCAACTTGACTTTGGGTCTGCTTTAGCCCCATGATCCTGCCTGATGGATTGGTCTCATGGCTGAACCTGGCCACGTTCCCTGGACGTGCCTTGCTTTTATCACTTTGGTGCTAAAGCCACAACCCTGCTCAACACTTCTCATACTCAGTTTCCTGTACCTTAGGGAGTAGATGGCTCTCCTTTCACTTTGATAGCAGCCCTCCAACCTGTAGGTTGTAGGTTGTGTCCAACATTCAACATCACTACGGGACTGATCTAACAAATCTAGACTTCCCAAGTTTGGGCTTGGTAGTATATACAGCTTTCAGGAGAAGCCATTTTTAACCTTCTCTCCCATCCTTCTTCAAGGTACTTCTCTACTTCTTATGTCTCTGTGTCTTAAAGAAGGTTAAAAAGCATGAAATCCACCGCTAAAAATAAATAAATAAATAAATAATGTTTTTTGTTTGACTTCTCCCTGCCCACCCACGCCTTTTTGTTCCATGGATCATGGGGAATTGTTCTGGGGAATTCAAAACTAAGACTTAAGTCTCTGCCAGGACTGACAAATTCCTTGAGTTCTGAAGCACAATTGTAAGAAGCACCTTATCTCATGAATAGAAGAAAGATGTTTACATTGCTGACTGAAGTCATTTAGGCGCAGGACCAGAAATCATCAGTACCCTCAGGTACAATCATCAGCTAGACTATAGGGCTAAGGTTTACATCCTGCTGAAGAAGCACAGCCTAAAGGACAGAATATAACCATGTAATGCCTGCTAGTATGTGATCTTCTGACATTGTTCTTTTCAAAAAGGAGGACAGAGCAAAGAAAGTGCTCTGACAGAACAGGGCATTTGAGTAGTAGTACTGCTCAAAATTGTAGATGAGGCTTTGTTTGTCTCCCTTGGTGCTACAATATAGGCATTTAATGATCTGCTTTGTAATCCTCTGGAGTGCAGGAAGTGCCCTCTACCAACCCAAATATTATTCCATTCATAGCTGACAATATGGCAGAGCAAAATTACAGACTACTTCCTCACACATACCTGCATTCAACTGTACTTTCAAAAATATAATCCTCTGTAAGACTTATTTGGTATCTAGTTCCATCTTGAGAGAAGACATYTTCTTGACCGAGGATGTTCCACTTCCAGCTCAGCAGTTAAATTTGCTTTCAGTAACCTAAAATCTTTTCTCTCTCCCCTCTCATCATACAGCAAATGATGAGTGCGAACTGAGGAAAGGAATGGGGAAAAAAAAAAAAGTACACAAACACTCAATGTCTTTTGTCATTCCTTGATGCCTTTGAATGTGCTGCTCTGGCCCTCTCCTTTTCAAGAAGGAAAACAACCAATAGGGTCACACTGTTGGATCTGTTGTTTCCTAAACAATCAAGTCTACCAGAATGGAGAGCTCTCCTTTGAGAAAGTTCATTGTTAGTGTCATTTCAAACAGCAGTACAATATTTAGTTCAGAAATACCCTCCTTTTCTGAGATTTGACACACAGAACRAGCACGTGACTTAGAAAATGAGTGAGAAACAGGATAGTGCAGAATTTTTTTTTTTCACCTTGTGTCTCTTTGCTACAAATATTATTGCAGCTGCTTTTATTTAAGTACATCATTAAGAATGATTACAAATTGACCAGGGAAAAAAAAAATGATACTATCTTTCCACTAAGCAGCTGGTACTGGAAAAATACTCAGGATCRGTGATCCTTGACATCACTTACCATGCTGTTTCCCTCTGTAGCAGCTAAATTCACATGCCCCCTGAATATTCAAATATTTAAATATATTGCAAGGAAAACCCACTAACTATGTCAAATTGCCAGTGCTACCACAAAGTACTAATATAGTGCTTAAAGGGTTTTATTCTCACACATACCTGTGTAACACTATTCTTCCCTAAGTCATACCTAACTTCAGTAGCATGCAAGGCAAAAGCATGCAAAGAGAGTATAGAAATCACTTCTCTGAATATCTTTTATCCCCAGCTACCACAGACATGTGCAGGGTTAATACAAGGAGTAATCAAGAACAACATATACAATCCCATGAACACTGTCTTCAAGTTTTGCCTGTGTGCCTGACAATATATGTCATTTCCAGAATTAGGAGGGCACATGGCCAAGCCATGAATGGGAGCATTAATAGGAAAGCATTATGGAAAAATAACAACCACACAGCCAATTTCCTAACAGAAGCCTAACATGC